GTTATTAAGTGGACACTCTAAAGGTCACTCTGGAGTCACACAAAGGTCATCCATAAATCATAGTCTCACCAGTAAATGAAACAACTGTCATATTATATTGTATTTAGTAAATTTACCATTTTTAACCGAACTAGAAACCAGAATATAGTGAGAATAATAGCAACAGCGATTCTGAAGACTCTCCCGAGCTCTCACATTTTACGAGTATTTCATGTACTTAAATTAATGATTGCTCTGGTTGTCAGAAGAGGCATCAGCCTAGTGACTCCTGAAAGAACTTGGCTTTCATCATGAGACATTATAATTCTTTTAAATGAAGACCTACTAATTCTCAGGGCAGAGTTTAAATGCTTTGACATGCTTTTTCTGGTTAGGGTTTTTTAGAGAGTTGATTTCCTACGGGATTGGGTCGCTTACCTAATGCCTAAACCTCCTGCTTTATCCGGGCTTGTTACCGGTGACAGCTCCAGGGAATCCCCGGGTGGAATTGTGAGTTTAATAGGCGTTCATAAAAATGAGATTTCCTTAATCAGTACATGAAACTCTCAAAAAGTAGGTGGGGGGATTAAGTGATTAGGCACTTATTATTAAGTAAAATTTAACTATTTATTTCAGAGGTGACTTAAAGTTCATTGGGTATATTTCCTTCAAAAGCTATTTTCCTTTCAACATAACGTCTTCAAGTTATCCTATAGAGACAAATTGCTTTATGTCTCCTATATTGACATTCATATATATATATATATATATATATATATATATATATATCGTTGTCAACGGATCATAGGCGAACAACAAAATTGATCGTGAATGCAATGATGTTAGACCCCCATTGAAAACCTGGAAGCACTGGATGGGCATTTCTTCCTAGTATAGTACTCTTCATCAGCGCGCATCCGCAATGCTGATCGCGGGATTCGAACCCAGGGGCATAGGTCTCGCGCGCGGACACATAACCTCTAGATCACTAAGCTGACATCCGATGATGTCAATGTCTAACTTCAATCAATCGAAAAAATTGCAAGGCCATTTTCCATTGTACTGAGGTATATACCTGTCTCTACCTGACATGGAGTAGCTCCACTGGTCACGGCTTCTCACTAGAACTTTGGGAATTTTCAAACGAAGCTAATTACTAGTAAGCACATGATAATTATCAGTATAGGGTTGTGGAGATTATTAAGTTTTTGACTGAGATCATGAACCGATTGATGTTATCATTTCTTATACTTTATACATGCACATAATAAACGTACCCTGCAAAACCTGTTAATATTAGGACATAAGATTTCCCCACTAAGTCTCGATTTTCCATCAGATACATTAAACCGCACTGGCAGATCTTTCCTGGTACAATTCACAGTTGAATCTTTAAAGAATAAACCAAGCGTTCCATCATTATAACACTTGTACTAAATAAAAAAGAAATACGATTTTGTGGAATAATTCTGGAATAAATATGAAGATACAATGGAGCAGGTTAGATTAAAGATACTTTAAGGATTCTGAACGAAAGTTGTGGATTTAAAATATATAGATCTAACTGATATATTCCAACGAGAATAATGAATGGTAACTATTGAGATCCATTTATAGACAAATCCTATACACATATTTTTATCGTATAATTATTAAGTAACTAAATTACTCATATTGTTGTGCCTCTTTTGATTAGCGCTATTTTGACCCATATTCTATTATTATACGATTTACCTTTCTTGAGTTGTGCCCAGTCTGTTCATTACAGTCTCCCTCATTCACAGCCACTTTTAACATGGTCTTGTACAAATGTTATTTTCAACTTCATGGTACGATGTGACCTGTTTGATCTGTATATGAGCCCAGTATTTTTAAGGTCAATAAGAACCAATCAACATCGAGATGCACAGAACAAGCTGCGAAACACATATGGAGAAATTCAAACACTTCACTTCTATTTGAAGTTTGTGCTGATGATGTCGTTCAGAAGGACGATGAAAGCTCCACGACCAAACCATCCAGCTCAGAGAACAAAACTCCACCAAAATCACCCACCTGAGCTACAAATCTTCTCCACCAGCACAGTATGTTTGAAATACATAATTCATGTTGCAGAGGCTGAGGTGGGTATTCTGAACTTAATAGGCAAGGATAGGCAGAAAGAAGGACTGATAAAATCTCTAGACTGCTAGTACAGGTTAAGGCATCCGGTCTATAAGGTACGAGGCCATAACTTATAACCATAGCAAACATTTTCAGTCACAAAACAAGAAACTGTTAATATGTCTAATTGCTAGACAATATTCAAGATTGAATTATTATTATACTATACTTCAGAAATTATACCCAGTTTTTAAATTAAGAGACATCTTTGTTAAACAACTTAATTTGAACAACATATCGTATAGTTGTGTTTTATGATGAAATTTGATTTTTAGAAAATGCAACATTATTATACTTTAAGAAAAAGGGTGGAACAATTAATGGGTGTTGTTTACGACAAAAAGCGAATGTCTGGCGCTTTAATCGGGTTTCTGAACACGGAGGATTCACCGAGGGGAGTTGGAAAACCCTGATTCCAAACCAATAGTGCACATGGGCTCCAGGATCCTGTAGGAACAAATGGCGTATAAACCAATCGTTGATCACTGGCTATCATAGGACTGCATCTCTCGACTTTGCTCCACTGCCTGTTGGATTAGATCTTTAGGTCGAAAGCACTGGGTGTGGTCCCCTAATACATAATTCCGTCTGGGCACCCGGGCAGTATCACAGCTCATGCACAAATCGAATGATTTATGCGGTGCATATCCAATTGATGCCTCCTTGTACCAGTGTTTATATAAAAATTTTAAATAAATCAGTTCGAAAACTGTATTTTTTTTAGAGTTTCGTGACTTTATATAGGCCACTTCCTCAGAGTGAAAATACAATCTATTTATCGATGGAATAAAAATCTGTAATAATAAACAGATAAGAAAGAATTAGTCCCTGAATTTTCTGAAGTAAAATAGTGTTCAATCTCGAAAGAACACATATTCCAGATAACTTTAATGACTATCGAGCTGTTTTACAAATTAATCTTGTATGACGTCTGTGAGGTATCTTTAGTAGTTCACACTGTGAAGATCAAATTCAAGACAAAGTTGTTCTGTTTTACATGATTTTCTACTTCTTTTCGGTGATGCAACCTATCTAACTTGAACTGATATTACTCAAATGTTATCAGACGTTTAAATCATCTTGAATGTTTGGTCTTGTCTTTAAAAACTCAATAGACAACAGAAACATAAAAAATAACAAAACTGTACCTTATGACAACTTCCTTTCAAATATGTCCCTAAAGTGTATATATATCTGTCGGTGTAAGTCCAAACACTTCGATGTTCAACACAAATCCCTTTTGATCCATATGTTTGATAGTATCGGTTAATGCCTTCACCTAACATAGAAGATGAGTTTTAAATAAGTGATTAATCATTTCTTATCTATTCAGAACGACTAGCTAAGTACACAGGTAGATCAACAATGTAAATATCTGAATAGAAAAAAAGGAAACATAAATTCACTTGGCATTGTTTACTTGAATCTTCCCAGTTGATATTTAGGACTGCAGTTGATCAGTCTCTTATTGGCATATGAGCATACTGGGCGTGTCGCCTCGATATTGTCTCAATTTACAAGAATTATAAGTAAAGATGGATAAAGGCTTGCAGTGGAATAGGGTGGTGACTTTTGAAGCAAACGGTACTGGGTTCGAGTCCCAGAGTAAACATCAACTCTGAGCTACAGATGAATCCAACTGACAAATTGGGAATAGGACGAAACGTGAGTCTCGGATTCCACTATTAATCACTATCCATCTTTGCTTATAATATTAGGAAACATCTGTTTCTCATGGTTATTTAACTGTCGTATATTTTCTACATTTTACGAAACAATTTTAGAATTCTAATAAAGAGCATTGAATGTTTAGCAAAATCATACATAAGCCATTATAGATATGCTAAGTACACCTAGGGTTTACTTTGCGTCCATGATGTAATGGTATCTTTGCTATTGAAAATACCATACAGTTTCAAATTCTAAGTATAATACAATAAGTAAGTGAAATTTTCCATTCTAAAACCGATCCAAGTTGATTATTTAATCAATAAAAAGTACAATCAGCAAACAAACATTAGCGAATCGCCTTAACTATTCTTCTCATGTAAAATATTTGATGGGCTAACTATATTTGTGAATAAAGCCTAAAACGCTGTTCTAACCAGTCTACTCGAAATTCTTCACTACATGTGTTCTTTGAATAGGTGATTCGATATATAATCATCTTATGAGAATTAAGTCAATTGTATTCACAGAATACTTGATTTGTAATTGAGTAATTCAATGATAGGTTAACGAAGAAGTAAATTGAATAATGGCTAGTAGTGAAATCCAAGACATGCGGTTCGTCCTATTCGTCAGTTGGATGTACCTGTATCTTAGAGTTGATGTTCATTCTGGGACTCAATATCGATATTGTGGCAGTCCGCACAGGACGCACATATCCCAACAAGAGACTGATTAATTGCAGTCCTAAATAACAATGAGACGATACAAGTAAACATCGTCAAGTAAAGGAAGTGAAATAATTAAATCTCAACTGAATGATTTTTAATAAATTTCCACGTCAAACGTATAAAATACCTAACTTGATAACTTATCGATATGAGACTATAATTTATGGACGATCATTGAGTAATGCTAAAGTGACCTTCAGAATATTCACCTACTTACTAGAGCTAAATGAGGGTTATAAACCTGTGAGAAGAAAAGAAGATTATAATTTTCCTTTGATGGTCAGAGTTAGGAATTAGATTTAAGGTAATTCACTACGAACTGACATAAGTTAAGATGCCAGGACTCTAGTTACTCAAATGGATGAATGAATTTCGTGCCGAAATCCAAGACCTCTTATATTAAATCTGATTGACTCGTTCATAATTTATAGTCTCTTCCCTATTGATGAAAGTATGCTATTAAGCTAAACGTATACTATACTATACAGAAAAAAAATAAAATGCTTACGTGATAATTTCTCATTCTCCTGATGTGTACAGAATGATGTAGCTGAATATTCACTGCCCAAACCTTTAACATACTACAAATGTGGGAGAGTAAGGTTAGTCCAATATAATACATCATTATTATGAGAAGATATTTTCTTACAAAAATGGCGAGACTATAATTTATGGACGACCTTTGAAAGAATCTTGTATGAGCTTGAGAAATATTAGCCATTTTTAATATTTGAGATCACGAGTCAATTGAAGCTAGACCAACATGGAATACCTAGAGGCAGTGGACGGCCGTTTCGTCTTAGTATGGGACTCCTCATCTGTGCTCATCCACAATCTCACTTCGCGAGATTCAAATCCAGTACCTATCAGTCTCGCGCGCTAGCGCCTAACCATTAGACCACTGGGCCGACATCCAACGTGGTCGCGGATGCACACTGCTGAGGAGTCCTACAGTAGGACAAAACAGTCGTCTAGTGCTTCCAGGTTTCCATGGTGGTCTAGCTTCAACTGACTCATGTCTCAACTATTCAAATTACTATAATATCCACAAAACCCCTTCAAATATTAGCCAATTAGAAAACAGTAGTGTAGAGTAAAATTCTATTATATATAACTAAAGAATTAAAATGGACACACTTCTTTTATATGGTTGAGAATCTTGTCAAAGTTAGAAAGAGGTTCACAGATTCTGAACTTGTAATGAATACAGTAGAGGAAATCATCCATATGATTCCATTTTAGTCGGCCTCTGGAGCCATGGTAAATACGCAAAAACTCTTTCAGCCTCGATCACATCGCTTCAATATTGTTTGTGTGCACTCCGGTTGTTGGATCCACAAAATGCCACTTGTGGATAAAGACACGATGCACATAAACAAGTCTCTGTAGGTGTCTGTACGCTCTTCAATCATCCGTTTATATTGTAGTACTCTGTAGCAGCCAGCGTTACTGGTGCTCTTATTATCCAGTTCTCAACGACTGTCGTAATTTCCCTTACTCTCGATCTGCATAGAGCGAAAAAAATCCTATCACGTTTTCTCTAAAATCCATTGTGAATCGATCTTACTTGTGTATCAGGTACTGAAATTGCCACCATGACCTCGAAATTCCTGAATCGCCTCTAATTGTCTCGTCTATAAATTATAGTCTTGCCAAGTAATTTTAAGTAGTACTGAACAATTGAAACTATTTTAACTGTTACTTATTCAAAACAACCATTTGTAATTTTCTATGTTAAAACAGTATCATTTCCCACATGTTAACTAATATAAGCTTCACCATATATCTCATTAAAAGTACTTGTTATTGATATAAATATAATTATGTAGTGGCTTTGTTTCGTTAATCAATCACCCTCGATAACCATCATTATATAAATTTCAACGATGTTTGAAATTAGAAGGCAATAAGAAGCAGCAACTACAGTGTATTAGCGGATAGCACAGATCACAAAGTTATAGGCACATCAAGCGAATTTGAAGCAGAGAGGCGTATATTTGTATGCGTGCAATTACATAGGCAAATTTATAGTCAAGTTGCATAAAGGCACAGCAAGACAAACCAAAAGCTAATAATCGGATTCGAGTACATAAATACATAGGGATCAGAATGAATGATCGAATGATATTTAAGCAATCAATATTTTAGCTAGAGTCTGTCATGTTCTCTAGTGATCATAACGGTACAATGAAATATGCTAATAGTTACTGTTCAAATAAGATTGTCCGTTAAGTAAATTAATAAAAGGGTCTAACCAAAGTGAACTATAATCGAGATTTGTTGGCTCTTGAAGCAAACAGTATTGAGTTCGAGTCCTAGAGTGGACATCAAATCTGAGATTCAGGTACATCTTACTGACAAGTCGCGAACAGGACAAAATGCGCGTCCTGGATTCCACTGATATCCACTATTCATCTTTGCTTATAATGCTTGTTGTAGGGTAGTTGCTATATTTATATCATTTCAGATTATTTCACAATAATAGTGAAAATATCTTTTTATCTAAATATGGTTTATTATAAAACCTAAATATCTTCAATCATTGTATTCATGACTCCATTGAAGCTAGACCACTATTGAAAGCCTGATAGGACTGGACAGCAGTTTTGTCCTTGTATGGGAGCATTAATTGATAATATCACACATTACCGACGATGGTAATTCATGTTTTCGTCACAGATTCATACATGAAAGTCGGTACAGGCGAATATATTTTAAATTATAAGTAGTTAATTTCTGATTATGGTCAGGAATGAAAAGTGATTATAGAAGTTGACCGAGAACCCTAGGTCATAATATTAAACGTTATGAGGTGAAATATTCACAAGAATGTAGAGCAATCAACTTACAACCATTGTTGGACAATAATCTTTAAATGGATCTTCCCCACCGAAATATTCAGGACCATATTGGGCATCAAATGGGGCTTTTAGGAAGAAACGATCTTCTATGGGAACTGGATTATGATATCTCAAAATACTACATGTTCCATATGAGAATGCATCCCGACATCTTGCTTCATTAACAGTGTCACAGAATGGGATAAATTTCCTGTGGCTTAACGAAGAAAACAATCAATTAGTAATTTCATTTTTCTTCATGTATATTTATTCAAAACAATTTACTATGCCATCAACAAACAAAGTATTATGTTTGAAGTTAAATATCAACAGTAAACAGTCCGACAGTTTCATTATGCAGTGTTTGAACTGATTACGAGTTCACTTTGTCTGCAAATGGAATAAAGACTCTGTGACCAAAGACCAATAAGTTAGCTATTCTGATGCGTCACAGCCCCGTGAACTAGAGAGAAAAGTTCATGTTCGAAACAGAGAAACATACACCGCAAGCAGCCAGAAGCACAAGAAATAATAACAGGTAAAAATCAAACACATATATACAGCAATGAATTGTCCTTAGGAAGCGTTACAAAATTGCATACTAAAAGATTCAACGAACCAATAGTGTTTAAGATTCTCCCAAGTGGGAAATACAACCCGACAGTGAAAATGAACGCCTTTGGTACGAAAACAAGAAATCCGAAATTTTAAAATAAAATTACAAAAATAAGGTATTTACCAAATGAGTTCTGGGGATCTACCATCCCCAACACATTAGGTAGTTCATCTTTGAAGTTCTCTTTCTACTTGATGGTATATTGAAAGGTAAGAATTTTTGATAAATTGATAGACATCTAAAATGCTCAAAAATATAAATATTAATGAATGGATCTGAATTATTGTATTACCACTTGCGATCGCATTATGTAACTGAGTTACATGATTTAAGAATTATCACATGGCAAAGCAAGAGCCTTAATCTTAAAATCAAAGAATATATGCGACTCAAAACAACTGTCTGTCAACAATATCAAAGTCAAAATCTTCAATTACAACATCAAGACTGTCCTACTGTACAGAGCTGAAACCTCGAGAACCACTACAACCATCATCAAAGAGGTACAAGTATTTATAAATAGTTATCTACATATCATACTCAACATCAAACATTGGCCGGATACCACCAGTAACAGTCTTCTGCGGCAGAGAACAAATCAGATTCCAGCAGAAGATTAAATTGGGAAAAGTTGTTGAAAACGGATAGGACACATTGCGAAAATCATCAAACTGTATCACGAGGCAAGCCCTAACTTGGAATCGTGAAGGCAAGTGAAAAAGAGGAAAACCGAAGAACACATTACGTCGAGAAATAGAAGTAGATATGTAAAGGTTGAGTAACAGCTGGAAAGAAGTGGAAAGGATTTCTTGAGACAGAGACAGAGTGCTGGTGGTTGGCCTATTATCCTCCACGAGGAGTAACAGACGTAAGTAGGTAAGTAACATATATTTTGTCGATTAGACATATGAAGGTATTGAACAAAGAATAATATTATAAATTCATAATTGAAAAGACAACTGACTCACTATTGTCGTCTAATTTCAGCATAGTCAAAGCAACTTTTCATGCAAAAGTCACATCCTAATTGTCTACCATATTCCCATTTCATCGCTTTTGAGTAATCAACAGTGTACCAACTTGAAAATGACATGAAAGAATTTATAAAGTCAAATCCCACATCATTAACGAATGAATAATAATAATGAAAGTTAGTACAGAATACACCAGACGGTAATATAATTAATACAAACTACTAAGTAAAGATGATAGTTAATTTATAGTTTACTTTTTGGATGAAAAGTGCAGTTGGGCGGCCTATGCTCCACGAGGAGTAACAGGCGTAAGTAAGTAAGTAAGTAAGTATAGTTTATTGTATCTGAAAAGGACTGATTACCAGATAAGTTGAAAATGAGTGTTTTAGACAAATGTGATAAAAAAGAAAAAGTGAAGAACAACGAACGTGATGAAGTGTACATAGTTTTGAGAAGAGTGGTATTGCATAACAAAATTTGAGGTTTTATAACAAAGATAGTTTTATTAAGGATAAACCTGTCATTTGTTGACATGGTTAAAGTAAATGCAAAACTATTGTGGGTTTGGTATGGCGGATGTGTCACTCAATTTAGTGGACTAGTTGAAGTGAGACATTAACACCGTTAGATCCCGACTGGCTCAGTGCCGAGAAGTTTAAGAGTACTTGCGCGAGATTAATAATTCTTGGGTTCGAATCCCGCGGGAGAGGGTCATGGGTGAGCATTGCTGAGAAGTCCCGTATTAGGAAAGGTTGGCCTCCCAATGTTCCCAGGCTTTCCATGGTGGTTTAGCTTCAATTGACCCATGATCTCAACTATTGAAATTACTACAATCTCCAGAAAACCCTTTTCTGATATGAATGAATCATTTAATGTATTTTGGTTTAGAAAATATTTTATATTCGCTTAATGAGAAATATGAAACTGAGTTCAGAAACCTTCAGTCTGTTCAGTCATTTCCATCATGTCTCTGAGCCAATGTTGGCGTTTACGACAGTGTTCTATCCCGACGAGAATAATGAATGGTAACTGTTGGGATCCATTTATAGACAAATCATACACGCATATTTTTATCGTATAATTGTTAAGTAACTAAACTTTTCATATTCTTTGAATATGAAAAAGAGAATTCAGCGAAGAAAATTTCCTTTTCGACGAAATCATTTACTTAAGCTGTACATTCGTATATATAGTTATATGGAAAATGAATTTCTATAGAAGGATAGAAAGGATTGTATCATATTCTTGTTCCTTTTTATGATTAGCGCTATTTCGACCCATAGACTATTATTATACGATTTACCGTTCTTGAGTTGTGCACAGTCTATTCATTACAGTCTACCTCATTCACAGCCAATTTTAACTTGGTCTTGTACAAATGTTATTTCCAAATTCATTGTACGTTGTGGTCTGATTTGTTTGTATATAAACGCAGTATATTTGAAATGCGTGATTCATATCACGGACGCTGAGATTGGTGTTGTGGACTTAACCTGCAGGGCTAAACAGGAAGGAGGACCGATAAAGACTGTAAACTCCTCGTACTTGTTTTATGCGTTATTGGTCTGGTCGATGAATCACTGTTCGTTAATTGGTGGTATCATTACATCGCATATTGATAGGGGCACAAGTCCACAAGTTATAACAGACAGAAGTAGGTTCATAGACTATGCGATTCATTCAGTTTCTCAAAAAAATGGGTGGTAAGGTAACAGTTACAATAAAAAGGGACCATCTGTAACACTAATCTCACTGAATATATAAATATATACTGGCTATGCCAGTTGGTACTGACTTCCAATAATATTTATATACACTTTTCATGACTACACATAATTTTGCATAAAAGTTACTTAAGTTCGAGAAAGGACTCAATCAGATTATTTAAGTTTTTGATATTTCAAAGTCCTGGACGAAGAATCAAAACACATTTATATCTTAACTAATGAGGGTTGACAACAATATATATTCAAACATGTTTAGCCATATCCTTTTAGACTGCCTTTAGTAATATCATTCCAAAACCTGCAAACATAGGCTTGTGGAGTTCAGATTTCGAAGTCGTTAACGAAACCAAATCTATTTTCAGAGATTCTGAACGATAATGGACGTGATTCTTTTACATCTGTCTTTGTAATAAAAAAATAGGTAATTACTTTGTCTAACTTTGCTTACCCTGAATCCTCAAAGAAGCCAAGAGTAACACGCGATACAGAGTAATCAATTTGTATTCTTCCAGCCATTATTTCGCTCTGAAACCGGAGATGATAATACACTACATAAATAATGAAGCAACTAACATTTATGGTCATAAAAGAATACGAATTTTTAAGCTATTTTATTCTCAATAGTATTTACGTTCTAACCTTTACTGACAAAGGGTATTTCCTTAGGCACGTATCCTACTACTAATAATAAATGAAAAGGCTCTACTTACCGTACTGAAATGTGATACTTTGTTCAAATGAGTAATCAATGATGATTGCAACTGGATCCAAGACCTACATTTCGTTTTATTTAGGATTTGTCAGCTGGAAAGAACATCAACTCTGGGATTCAGGTACATTCAGCTGACGAGTCCCAAATAGGACAAAACGTGCTTCACAACGTCACAGATAACTGTCATTCTTAAAAAAAGTCTAATATCACGGTAATTGTTTAACATGTTGACTTTATTTGCTACTTAACTCCCTAATACTCTTAATTCAATGCAAATAATTTCAGAAATAACGAAATACATATTTTTGATAGTTCATTTTAGACAAATGTTTAAACAATGTTTCTTTATCACACAGATTAAGAATGTATAAAAGTCATATTCACACTTCAGTAAACTCACTGAATATGTTCTTCCCTCCCAATGCGATCCTATCAATCCAGTTTGGTGTTGATTTTCCAAATCTGCTCCATCTAATCGGGTACAACTGAAATGTTTTCTTGCAGCGTTCTAAATATTGTAAGTATGTATATTTTGATTATTTTTTTTAAATTAAAGGAAGAGAAACCCAGAATAATATTTTCTGATTTAGATCATGAATCGATTGATGTTAGACTTCTGTTGAAAATCTGGAAGCACTGGATGGCCAGCTGGTCCTATTGTGGAACTCCCCAGCAGTGTGCACTCAAGATCTTGCATTGCGAGATTTCAATCCAGGACCGATAAGTCTCTTGTTCGAACGCTTAACCTCTACGACACTGAGCCGACCAGCCTACATCACTGTTAATGTCTAACTTCAAATAATCCAGGAAGTTGTGCCACCGTATACCATTGTTTTCAGCGATTTGCTATCTCACAACAGAATCGGTTGACCTTTACTGATCATCGCTTCTCACTAGAACTCCGGGAAATACCTCTTGGAGACCGTCACAAGTGAACATATTTTGATAAATATCAGAGGTCGTTTTTATAGATATCATAGTAATTTAAATAGTCGAGATTATGAGTCAATTGAAGTTAGACCACCACAGAAAATCTTGAAGTAGTGGACGGCCGTTTTGTCCTACTAAGGGACTCCTCATCACTGCTCATGCACGATCCCACCTCACGAGGATCGAACCCAGGACCTATCAGTTAAGATAGTGTACATCGGACGATGAGAAAAATTTCTTTTCGTTCGAGGTGGATTATTGAATTTCTATCTAACATTTTCTTGATTATAAAATGATAATAATTGCATTAAAGACTTAACTAACCAGGATTCTAGGAGTAACGAAAGCATAAAAGTCTTTTGTGAACCATCCTGCCGCACTTCTCCATCTTCTTGTGATCTTTTGGATAGTATTAGTACTGTGAAAAAGACGTTCAAAATATCAAAAACTTGCAATATAAGCACATAAGTTCTTTAAAAAATATTCCTTCGAAAGAAAGCCTAGGGATAACGCTACGCAAAACAGTAGTTTTCAAGAATTTTTCAAATAGATTTGTATGGTGAACCGAACATGAAATATTAGGGTCATCATTTTAACTAATCGTTTATTTATTGATCGTAAATATTTGTACAAAGGGGCATCGAATATATATGCACCACACAAGTCATTTGATTTGTGTGTGGGCTGGGACACTGCCCTGGTGCCCAAACCGAAGCAGATGGTTTTGTTAGGGGACCACATCCAGAGCCTTCTAAATAAAGGTCCAATCCACAAAGCAGCGGAGCAACTTCAGGAGATGCAGTCCCACGGTAATCCGTGACCAACAATGCGTTCATACGCCACTTGTTCCCTCAGGATCCTGGAGTTCATGTGCACCATTGGTTTAGAATTAGGGTTTTCTAACTCACGTCTGCTGATCCTCCATATCCACCAACCTGTTTAAAGAGCCAAACATACGTTTAATGTCCCCTCAATTTCGTAAGCAACACGCCTGGTGAGAGAAAGCAGTGGGTAGGATTCCCCTGGCAGTGACTGTATACTCATTGGCATGTGAGGGCATTTCGAGAGAGAGAGCCGACTCTCCTCATTCTCGGTCGTACCATGGCATTTTCGAGACTAATTATACATAACATATGTGTGAAATCTACCTTTAAAGATTAGTACGGAGCTTCTATTATCATAATATCAATACACAAGTAAATCGATCATATGCATATAATGAATAACTTTGGGTTTAGAGTTTTGATTTTTTTTTGACGCCGAGATACATCAGTTACAGATCTAACTTATGTGTTCACATAGTTAGGATTAGCCTATCTGTCAATGATTACTTGCATAGTACTGTTCACTAATCTAAATGAAATTATCATTGCAATAATAATATGCATATGAGTCAGCATTCTGCTCTTCCGTTTTAAATCTAGCATTGAATTCCAGTCACCTAAGGATGCTAAAAACATTGTTGATAGGACATTGAAGACTTGGAAGCACTGGACGGATATGTAATGCTGAGTCCCACAATAGAACGAAGTGGCCTACAGTGATTCCAGGTTTTCAATGGTGGTCTAACATCAATCGGTTCACGATCTCAATCCAAAACTTAATAATCTCCACAATCCTATACTTATATTTCTGTATCAAAAGGTTTTCTAAGTTTCTATTGGTTGAATATACAGAAAAATGAAATTCTCACCTCGGAGCATAATTTCCATATTGATCTTTGTACTTTGGCTTACGTTTATCGTCCCTGGGAGTTCGAGCTGTCCCATTTGGAAAGCGCATAAAAGGGAAGCTGGATGATGAAAATCCCTAAAATATAATAAATTTTAAAAATGTTAAATAATGACTACACAGAATCAGAATAGTACATATGAGATTGTATATACCTGTTCATATTTACAACACCATGTCAAGAATATTAACACTAGTTTCAGATAAATAGCTGAATAACACTATAAAGAAAGAACTGATTGACATTTTGCAAATGAAGCAATTACTGTATGATTCTCAGATTTTACTAATATGTTAGTGTGTTCTAATATGGGATTCCTCAGCCGTCCAGTGCTTCCACGTTTTCTATGATGGTCTAACTTGAATTGACTCATGAATTCAACTATTAAATTAATAAGTAACTTATGTCATGTTCACGTAGCCCTTAGTGCTGATCAAGTTTTATCGGTTAGTTATCAGCGTGTTGACCTGTCAAAATGTTTCAATATTCGATGCTTTTTTCGTTAGTTATAGGTAATTACGAGGTCATAATAGAAAAACTCGACATTAGGATACTTATTGTTTTCATGAAAAATATGTAACATACTAGACATATATTGACGGAGTTTTGTTCTCAGAGTTGGATGATTTGGTCATGAAGATTTCATCGTTATTCTGAACGATAGATAGAAGTGTGTTGATGATGTCGTTCAGAAGAACAATGAAAGCTTCATGACCAAACCATCCAACCCAGAGAATGAAACTCCATTAAAATCATCCATTTGAGCTACAAATCCTCTTCACTATCTCAATACTAGATATATTTCAGTATAATTGTTCAGTGATCTCAATGAACAGAAAAATACTCTTTATCTTATCAAAATAATAGATGAACTTACAAGTGCATGACCAATTTCATGTAAGAAAATTCCACGTGAATTTCTATCTTCAGGATAATCAACTCCCATTTTTCCTGGGCACACATTTACAAATCCAAGAATTGGCCTAAAGTATTAAGTAGTATCAATATATGGATATAAAACAATGAATGAATTGTTCTCAATTAAAGTAACTAACTAAGTAGTTACATTACAATTTCACTTTGTAATCTAAATTTATCCCGTATTCCATTAAATATTTAGTTCCATAGACATTGTAGATAGTTGGGTAGTTGGTTTAGTGACATAATATCTTACGTAATTTGTTGAATGAGTGTTTTTTGCTAATGAGATTACAAAAAAAGATCCTTAGTTCAAAACTATCTACTTTACAGTTGACAATTTATTTGCTAAATTACTTACTTACTTACGTCTGTTACTCCTCGTGGACGAGCATAAGCCAACCACCAGCACTCTGTCCCTGTCCCAAAAAATATTTTCCACTTCTTTTCAATTGTTATTCATCCTTTTCATGTTTACTTCCAATTCTCAATGCAGTATTTTCGTTGGTCTTCCTCTTTTTCTCTTCCTTGAACGATTCCAAGTTAGGGCATGCCTCATGGTGCAGTTGAGTGATTTCCGTAATGTATTTGATATCCATTTCCATGAACTTTTCCTAATTTCCTCTCCAGTTGGAATCTGGTTTGTTCTCTCCCACAGTAAGCTGTTGCTGATGATATCCGGTCATTGGATGTTGAGTATCTTGTGTAGACAGCTATTTATAAATACTTGTACCTTTTTGATGATGGTTATCTTAGTTCTTCACGTTTCAGCTCCGTACATTAGGACTGGTTTGGCGTTCGTATTTAAGATTACGACTTTGATACTATTGAGAGATAGCTATTTTGAGTTGCAAGAATGCTGCTCTTTCTTCGCCCATCCTCGCATTTACGCTCGCATCTGATCCTTCTTGTTCATCGATAACGCTGATGAACAGGTACGTGAAAGATTCCGCATATTCCGGAGTCTTGCCATCAAGAGTGATTGGACTGCTGTTCTCCGTTTTGAATTTGAGGACCTTGGTTTTCCCCTTTTGTATGTTGAGGCCTACTGATACAGAGGCTGCTGCCACACTAGTTGTATTCATTTGCATTTGTTATTTTGTGTGGGATAGGAGGGCTTGGTCATCTGCGAAGTCTAAATCTAATTGATCCTAAACTGTCCAATGTATTTCGTGCTCCCACTCAGATTTCGAGGTCTTCATAATCCAGTCGAAACAGGAAGGAGGAGAGTAGACAGCCTTGTTCGACTCCGGTTCTTACTTGGAATGCATCGGTCAGCTGTCCTCCATGCACGATTCTGCACTGTAGTCCGTAGTATGAGTTCCGGATAATGTTGACAGTTTTTCAGGAACTCCATAGTGTTAACGAAATTTACATAATGTTCTCATGTCCACACTGTCAAACTCCTTGTCATGGTCAACGAAGTTTATGTATAGTGATGAGTTCCATTCAACTCATTGTTCGACAATGATCAGTGGTATCGCAATATGGTCTGTGCACGATTGATCCCTACGGAATCCAGCTTGTTGATCTTGAATTTGCGTGTCTGCTGCATCTTTCATCCGGTTCAGCAACACTCTGTTAAAGACTTTCTCTGGTAATGACAGTATTGTGATGCCTCCGTAATTTTCACATTTGCTCAGATCTCCATTCTTTGGAATCTTGATGAGGTGTCTTTCTTTCCAGTCAGTCGGCGCCCGTTCCTCCTCTCAAAGCTTCTTGAATAGAAGGTGAAGCATGTTTGTAGTTACTTCGATGTTTGCCTTTAGTGCTTCATCTGGTATGTTGTTAAGTTCCGCTGCCTTCCCATTCTTGATTTGTCTGATGGCGATTCTGATTTCCGCGATCGTTGGTGGAGTGATATCTCTAAGAATGTCTGTGTTTCCTGAACTGGGATAAATCACTCGTAAATAAAATTCAAGTTTTAAAGAATGAATTGTACTAATTATCAATTTTCATTTACTGAACTTAAAGTACCAATAAATGGATAAAATTGGAAGGTAATTCCTTAACTTTCACAATACTATAGTAAACATTTGATTTAAGAGTAGTATAGTTAAAAACATTTGTCTTTGAATAAGTTATTCAGTCATTTTTCTTTCATCTAAAACAAGAATATGCTCCAATAAACAAATCTGATTACCTATCTGTTTCCTCATCCATTAAACATGATGATGCAAATGCTGCTGTACTACCAGAACAGGTACGTGTATTTATAGCATCAACAAGTAGGATGTAACCGGCAGGTGGTATTCCACTTCCATTATTGTAAGTTCTGTGTAATCGGTTATAATATTCTTGATAACATTCCTGAAACATAATCATGATAAAATTATTAAATCTTAATATTTTGAACACAAATAATAAAATATAGACGATTGAGATGATGGAGAAGATTTGTAGCTCAGGCGGATGATTTTGATGTTCTCTAAGCTGGATGTTTTGGTCGTGGAGCTTCTAGTAGAAGTTTGTGCTGATGATGTCATTCAGAAGGACGATGAAAGCTCCATGATTAAACCATCGAGCTCAGAGAACGAAACTCCATCAAAATATACATCATTGTTTTACGAATTGGATTATCAGTTGTATCTAATCTCTGTTCAGGCCATCATAGCTGTTGTATGAAAAAAGTCATACACCGAATTTTGAGAAAGAGTATTTACAATTATGATAATATTAAAATACAAATCTATATTTTTTTTCTAAAGAGATCACATTTCAATGTTGATTCTATAATTATCCCGACTCAGTGATCTAGAAGGTAAACGTTCGTGTGCGAGACCGAAGGTTCTAGGTTCGAATCCCGCGAGCGGAATCGTAGATGTGCATTGTTGAGTATTCTGTATTTCACACTTTCAATCACTTATAAGAAATGAATTAAAAATCTAATACACATCTCATTGTCGCATTTTAAATATCTACTATCTTTATAACAGTAAAAATATTACGCTGTACTTATACTCACCCCTACATACTGATCTGGAATTTTCACTTGTCCGCACATAACATCGCGTTTGCACATCGACTGACGGCAAAATATGGAATTATTCCCAGTAGCTGTGTAATAGTATCCACTTTCACAATACCTTGATGAAGCAAAATAAGAATGTTGTTCAGTTAAGAATAAAAGAAATCCATCTATTAAGTTTTAATCTAGAATAGTGAATTATTTATGTTACTTAATAGGATACCTTGAAACATTGAAATGACAAGAATGAAAAGTGTGACAAGAATGCTGATGATTACACATCAAAAACAAGTAAGCTAACAGTACAATCACCTTTTCGCTAGTTGTTTTCCACTTCCAGGTTTCTTGACTGTCAATGCTTCTTCCCAATACTTTATTGCTGCTCGTAAATATATCTGTAAAAATGTAAAATAACACAAACAAAGTATTACATTATTAATTTTAATAGTTGGGATCATGAGTCAATCGAAGCTAGATCATCATAGAAAACCTAGAAGCACTGACGGCCGTTCCGTCCTACTGTAAAACTACTCAACAGTGCGTATCCACGATCCCGCCTCACGAGATTCCAACCCAGGTCCTATCGGTCACACGCGCGAGTGCTTAATCTCTACACCAATGAGCTGGCCGGCATCCAATCATATTAATGACTTACTTCAATCAATCCACGAAGTTGCACCACCATCCACGATTGTTATCAGTGTGTTACTATCTCACAACAGATTTGGTTGAACTCCACTGATCACTGCTTCTCACTAGAACTCCAGGAAATATCTCTTCAAGCCAGTCACTAGTGAGCATATGTTCATGATTATCATAGGGAGCTTTTGTGGAGATTTTACTAATTTTATAGTTGAATTCATGAGTCAACTGAAGCTAGATCACCATGGACAAACTGGAAGCACTGGATAGCAGTTTCGTCCTAGCACGGGACTCCTCAGCAGTGCTCATCCACGATCATCCTCATAATTGTTATTCATAAGTGAATATATATATATAGCTATTCAAATAATCAAAACTTAAAACTGTTACAATTAAATCATTCATAGAAACATTGAAAAACATTACTATACTGAGAAGAATTTTTATCATAAATCATGTGAATTACTGAGAGTTTAGCATGATCTTTCATTCTGTAGAAATTATGAGTAAAATGCGTATAAAACTTCAAATGTTTTGGCGCTGTATTCCGTCTCTCGACATCATCCGAATGTACAGTGACAGTATGATCCTAAAATTTCAATCAAATTCTCTAATAATATTGAATCTACCAATTTCACTAAAGGTGGTGAACCACAGAATGATGTCGAATTGACAATATGACATATGATCAAAATGAAAATCCATTTAATGAATAAATGAATAAGCATATCTGTTAAGTATGGTGGTAACTAACTTATGTCATATGTAAACCTATATATATACATGTTGTTGTCGTCTGAAGTTCAGAGACCAATCTAATGTCTCCGGTCTATCTTGTTTGTTTATTTTTCATTAATATTTTTAACAGTTTCGATGGAGATTCAGATCAATTCACACAACAAAAAGAGAAAAGAAAAGAGAAAAGAAAAACGAAAGAAAAAATAATGTACGTTCGCTTTTTGTCTTAAATTCAAAGATTCTGGACAATTTGATTTGATTGTTGATTCTTTTAACTTGAATAAGTTTAACTTTGTTTCAAAACAAAATCTTCCCCCCCCCCCATTGCGAAACATTTGACTGAGTCTGATCATAATGAAATTAACTTTGCTTTATCTATATTATGATGATTTTTGTAATTATTAATACTTTTTGGACATTTAAATGATTCTAGTAAACGGATAAAGAGAATAGTTGATATACATTCAAATTACCTACCACCTGATGAGTGAAATGGATACTAAAGAAGTATTAAACAATCAAATAGATAGAATGATGAAATTGGAATATGCAATCACTTGAAGTTGTCAACATATACAAAATCATTCAGACAATTTAAAACAACCCAGGGTGTAAACCTTATAAGACTTAATTCAATGAAAAAGGTACCATTGTTTACTTACAATTGAAATGGAATTACAAAGTGAATAACTTTAACAATATCAGGAGATGATGAGATGTAAGATGTTTTGGGATAAACAGTTGATATCTATTGAACATACTTAAACACGGAGTAAGTCAAATTAACTTACTTACTTTCGCTTGTTACTCCCAATGGAGTATAGGCTGCCTACCAGTATTCTCGAATACACTCAATCCTGGACCTTCATTTCTAGTTCTATCCAAATGTTGTTCATTCTTCTAATGTCTCTATCCATTTATCAGTGTAATTTGTTCTTTGGTATTCCTAGCCTCCTTTGGCCTTGAAGATTTCAAGTGAGGGCTTGACTTGTGACGTAGTTCGGTGCATTCTTCAATGTATGTCATATTTACTTTTGATGATTCTTCTTGATTTATTCTTCCACTGTTATTGTTGATTGTGTTTGGCCAACGGATCAGAAGTATTTTGTGTAGACAGCTGTTAAGAAACACTTGTATCTTCTAAAAGATGGGTTTCGTAGTTCGCCAAGTTTCTACCCCATACAATAGAACTGTGTTGACATTTGTATTGAAAATTCCAACTTTGGTGTTGATTGACAGTTGTTTTGATATATAAACTGACTATTCAATGTATTGAAAAATTCGACACTCAACTGTTATTGATGAAAATGTAAATGTTTGTTAACTATCTATTTGGAACAGAAGTTATAATCATCAACAAAATGTAATTCATTAGTTGAATTCATGAACCAATTGCAGCTAGATCACCGTGAAAAACTTGGAAACACTGAACGGCTATTTCGTTCTGGTATAGGACTCCTCAGCAGTACGCATTCATGATCCCGCCTCTCGAGATTCATTTTCAGGACCTCATTCATATATCTAGATATTAATTATTACACTTTAATTGAATATTGCATCTGTTGGATCTTACAATCTTCCCGAATTACTGTTGAAGTCAATTTATACTATAAAGTTCCATCAGATCAATTCAAAAATAGATATGCAATAATTTTTTTTAATATCTAGACTAAGTGTAGTCGAAGTACGTAACAGATTCCCTGATGATTCCCTAGTCACATTGTCGCTTTATATTATTCAGTGTTATAATGTCTCCATCTCTCGCTTTAGCTACAATCTCACATTTAGAATTTAAAATGCTTCCTAATCATAAATATCAGTTTAAGGGTTGTGGAGATTATTAAATTTTTGATTGAGATCATGAACCAATTGATGTTAGACTAACATTGAAAACCTGAAAGTACTGGACGGCAGTTTCGTTGTATTGTGGGACTCCTCAGCAGCGAGACTGAAGGCCCTGGGTTCGAATCCCGCGAGAGGGATCGTGGATACGCACTGCTTAGGAGTCCCACAATAGGATGAAATGGACATCCAGTGCTTCCAGGTTTTCAATGATGGTCTAACATCAATCGGTTCATGATCTCAATTAATAATAAATAATTTAAGCAAGAATTCGTGATGTAGAATAATTTATTAAAACAATTAGTTCCTTTGATAAACTTCGATAATACAATGAGAAGATGAAGTTCATCAAAACTATGTCATGATGTATTTGCACAACATATTTCAAATAATCTGATTACGCATGATGTACTTGTTAAGACATTTTTATATGAAAATTAATAGTTCAACTATACAGGGTAAAGATAGGCCATAACAAAGAAGCCAAAGCTTCAATAAACCTTAGTATATTATCCTTGAAAGCTTTTGTACAACACTACAAGTGTCGACTCGATGTCAACTTTATAACTAGTCTCAATCACATGTTTCACAATGAAAGAAGATGTCTACCTATCCTTTTGATCTTATTTAACCATTGGAATTCATAACGAAATCATGAATGAAATCTATTTTAAATGATTGTTTGATCCGGATCAGTAATTTATAAAGCCAAATAATTTAAGGCCATAGTGTAGTGAAGGAAAACACAAGTGAGGACAACCGAATTATATTTAGCACAACATTATAGAGTTACTTGGTAAAATAGAAAAGTCATACTATAATACTTAATTTGCAAAATGTCCAATAATTGTCTCCAACTTTATTGTTCTTTCATTTCTATACTAATTGCTTTCTATTCCCGTTCTTCCTTTCTTGATCTTCCTCATCTTCTGCTGCCAGCCATTACATTCCTACTTATATCAATATAAGTAGTACGCGCCACAAAACAATCAGAATGATAGTCATGTAACTATAATCATAAAATAAGTTAGGAAGTTATTTTTTTGCCCATTATCTAACCTCATTACAGTTTGTACAAAGATGTTATGAACATAAATCTTCCATTTTACTCTGTATTATTATCTAGGCTAACCTTATTTATATGACAATGGTAATAAGAAGCCAAATATGAGTTGTATTAGATGATGGGGTCGCTAACCCCATGCCCACCCTCCCCCCTTATCCGGGCTTGGGACCGGCAGTAGCCCCCGGAGGAACTCCAGGAGGAGTTATTGATACATCATTATGCCTATTTAAAAGGGGTGTAATTTACAATCTATCAATGAATTACATTATGATTAGTGAATAAAGTTTAATCATAATGAAAATAATCCAAACTTGAATTCTCTATTTAGTTCCATTAATTGGTTTCTTTTTATAAATCGTTAATGACACAAAATGATTACTCGTTTCATGATCATAAAAAGTTGTTAAGCTCATTATATGAAGTGTTTTAAAGAAGGGCTTGTCTTTCTATTTGTTTTAAAAAAAGAAAAGAAAAAAAAGAAAACCAGAATATTTATTTACATTTTGTTAGTAAACGGTATGAACAGGGTGGATCTCATGCAGATGTGAAGGCGCGGATCGGCAAAGCAAGAGCAGCATATTTACAACTGAAGAACATCTGGAACTCAAAGCAACTGTCAACCAACACCAAGGTCAGGATTTTCAATACAAATGTCAAGACAGTTCTACTGTATGGGGCGGAAACCTGGAGAACTACGAAAGCCATCATCCACAAGATACAAGTGTTTATTAACAATTGTCTACGCAAAATACTTCGGATCCATTAGCCAGACACTATTAGCAATAACCAACTGTGGGAGAGAACAAACCAGATCCCAGCGGAGGAAGAAATCAGGAAGAAGCGCTGGAAGTGGATAGGACACACATTGAGGAAAGCACCCAACTGCGTCACAAGACAAGCCCTCACATGGAATCCTGAAGGTCAAAGGAAAAGAGGAAGACCAAAGAACACATTACGCCGAGAAATGGAGATAGACATGAGAAAAATGAACAAGAATTGGATGGAACTAGAAAAGAAGGGCCATGACAGAGTGGGTTGGAGAATGCTGGTCAGCGGCACATGCTCCATTGGGAGTAACAGGCGTAAGTAAGTAAGTAAGTAAGTAAA